CACAGGACAGTTCTCCCCTCTCCGTGTGGGGACCCCCACTCCCGAGTGCTGACATGTGACCCAGGGTGCCAGCTGTAGGCCACTGCATGTCACTGTAAAAGAATAAGAAAAACAAAGAGGAAGGCTGAAGTCTCCTTAGGATGAAAACATAATGAAGCCTTTATTTCCCACATGGGTGGAGGCCATAGAGGTCAGCCACAGATGGGCTGGTGGCCTCAATGCTCCTGTCAGCTATGTCCTGACAGAGAGGCAAAGATTTGAGCAGTCAGAGAAACGATGAAGTCCCCAGCAATAGGACGCTGCAGTGAGGTCAGGCCAGGATGTTCACCCTCCCCACCCGCCCCTCCATTTGATGATGAGGAAACCAAGGCTCAGCCGGGGCCTCAGACAGGGGAAGGTGCTGTTTTTTTCTGGGGCCACAGACAGCTCAGGGTGCAGGTAGGACCTTCAGGAAGGCAGTGTAGCTCGGGAACATCTCCTGTTGTGGCCTGGCGTCTGCAGGAAGTCGCAGTCTCGGGTCCCCTTCACCAGCTTCATTGCGAGGGGAGCTGGGGCCAGGCTGTAGCGGGCCTCGTGAGAGGAGCCCCCACTGCCCTTCTGCCTCATACACAGATGTCCTGAGATACCACCATGGTGGCCCTTTGAGGAGCACAGGAGCCCCCGCCTCGGGGCAGTGTGTGGCGGGAGGATCCTGGGAGAGGCGCCAGGCCAGAGAGGGGAGGGCAGAGGCGATGAGGACTCCAAGTGGCATGGGGTGGCCCCTTCCTCCTGGGGCAGGGGCACAGGGTTCACTTTATACCCACCTGGGAAACGGGAGGCTCTGTCCCCACTCTGCTCACCAATTCACATTCATAGCCGGCGATCTTTCACTTTGTCATTTTGCACGAGGGCATGTGGAACGAACGTGGAGGTGTCACATAAGGCAAAGGTGTGTGACTCCATGTGTCCGGCTGCAGGGCTGCTGCTGGAAAGGACTCCCCTGCTTCTAGGCTCTCAATTTTGACCAGAAGGTCTTCGGCCTCAGGTGGGGGTGGGGGTGCAGCCTGGCCCATAGACAATTTTCTGAGTGCCTGGGGACCCCAGATAGGGGGTGGGGGATGAAGTGTGCATTCTCCCCGGGGGTCCCTGCTGTGGGTGTGAGTCCTGCCCATGGCCCTGGCCTCCCCTCCTTCCTGCTTCAGTGAGTCTTTCCTCTGCCTTCTCCCTCCGGTGGGTCTCCTCTCCTCCTTGAACCGCTGGTTCCCTACTTGCTACTTCCAGGGTTGTGGTGAGGATATTTGTAGTGAAAAGATCAAGAACACATCTTGGTGGGTGGCAAAAAAACAGAAGTGAGTCAGATCTGAATCTAGAGAGATGGCCTGTTTGCTAATCTAGGTCAGAAGGGGTCTCCGGGGCTGATGACTACTCACTCTACCTTGGAAGACTCAGTTCCAGTCATTATTGTAGCTAGCTTGCTTCCGGATTTTTATCCCTCTCGGGAAACATACTTTACTGTGCAACTAATGCATGACCATCGTTGAAAATTTCTACAGTGTGAATAAACGGAAAACTAACCAACCAAACCCATGATGTAAAATAATTGATAACCGCAATTATCAATTGCAGGAATAATCACTGTTCACATAATCACTGTTCACTGTTTTGTGTATATTCTTCAGGTTCTTTTTTTCTTCGTTATTCTATGTTTTCATATTTTACAGAAAACTGGTTACATAGTCTGTAGACTCTCCTGTCACTCAAAAGTGTGTTAACCCCTTTCCATGTCAAAGGAAAACATTTAGTTGCTATTAAAGTGAAAAGAAAACCCACACAAGTTAAAAAATTTAAATGAGCAGTCACATTTCTAGAGAAAGAAAATAGAATGCTCTTTGCCAGGGTCTGATGGCGGGGAGGGATGGGAAGTTGGTTTTTAAAGGGGACGGAGTTCAGTTTGGGAAAGTGAAAAGGTTCTGGAGTTATCTGGTGGTGATGGCTCCATGGCAGTGTGAATGGACTTAATGCCACTGAACTGTGGACTCAAAAACGGTGTAGGTGGTAAATTTTATGTCTTGTGCATTTTGCCACAATAAAAAAGATATAATAAAACTAAAAAAGAAAAGTGTCGATGGTTCAGAATTGTGTTCAATGAAAACTAAGATTCACATCTTACCCTCCTTATACTAAATATTTTTAAAATATAATAGCAACAAGGGGCACCTGGATGGTTGAGTCGGTTGAGCATCAGACTTTGGCTCAGGTCATGAACTCATGGTTCGGGCGTTCGAGCCCTGTGGAGGGCTCTGTGCTGATAGCTCAGAGCCTGGGATCTGCTTTGGATTCTGTGTCTCCCTCTTTCTCTGCCCCTCCCCTGCTCACACTCTGTCTCTCTCTCAAAAATTAAATTTTAAAAAAACATTAAAAAATTAAAAAGCTCTTGCTTAACAACAATGAAGTTCCCGTGTTTGGAGCTAAGCAGACCACGTGCACTGTGTCATGGTCATACAAAAAGGCTAAAGGTCAACTGAGCTGGGACATGATAGAGCTGGTTTCCATTTCAGAGCCTGAACTCTAATCAGCTCATCTCTGCTGCTGCTTTTTTTTTTTTTTTAAGATTTTATTATTTTTTTTTAAGTTTTTTTTTCTTTGAGTTTATTTATTCTCAGAGAGAGTGAGCATGAGTTGGGGAGAAGGAGAGAGGAAGATTGATTCACAAGCAGGCTCCATGCACTCTCAGCGATGTGGGGCTTCATCTTATGAACCGCGAGATCATGACCTGAGCTGAAATCAAGAGTCCGCTGCTTAACCTACTGAGCCACTCAGGCGCCCAAAGATTTAATTTTTTTTTTTTTAATTTTTTTTTTTCAACGTTTATTTATTTTTGTGACAGAGAGAGACAGAGCATGAACGGGGGAGGGGCAGAGAGAGAGGGAGACACAGAATTGGAAACAGGCTCCAGGCTCTGAGCCATCAATGAAACAGGCTCCAGGCTCAGACCATCAGCCAAGTGGCCAGCGGAGACTCGAACTCCCAGGCCCATGGTCGTGACCTGGCTGAAGTCCAGGCAACAACGACTGTGCCACCCAGGCGCCCCCAAAGATTTTATTTTTAAGTAATTTCTATACCCACATGGGGCTCAAACTCATGATCCTGAGATCAAGGGGTGCATGCTCCATGGACTGAGCCAGGCAGGCAGGCCTGCTACTTTTTCCATAAGATCATTTTATTTAAGAGAATAATAAATAGGTCATTGTCAGGAAGGGAGAAAGTCATCCATTACCCCCCATTCAACCTCCCTACTACTTCTATGCGTTCCCTGTAGACTGTCTTCACACATTCCCACCCTTTTCTCCTGCTTTGTGCCGTGGCCACAGGGTGGTGCTGTCTGCCGAGGGGAGTAGGGGGTTTGGGGTGGGGGGTGGGGCACAACAGTTGGTGTCTCAGCCTGAGCCATTCTGGTGTAGATGGCGAAACCAGCTCCAGGTTTGAATCTGATCAGTTGTTTGGGGACAAATCATTTCGCCTATCTGAACTTCAGTGTGTTCAAAAATAAAATGCAGTCACTTCTGTCAGCCTCCAGAGATTGTCCTGAAAATCAAATAAATCTGTGTGGTGCCATACAAGTGTAGTGCCATGCATTTTTAGGCATTATTAATATTGTTCTAGTCCCAAAGCTTGGGTTTGAAAAGCTTGGCCCCTTGGTAATAATCAGCGTTGTTTAGAGAGATACACAGTTTACCTGTCAGAAGAAATGCTGCCAGAGATTCACAGGCTGGAGACGTTTCGTCCTAGCCCCATCGGATGCATGTGTGAGCAAGTCGGAGGCTTTCCCCGGGATTTCAGTGCCCCTGTTTCTGTGGTTCTCAAGCGTGGGTCCACCTAAGAACACCAGAGGGTGAAGGGCCTTGAATGCAGGGCTGTAGAATTTGGATTTGGTCTGGAAGGTAAAGGGGAGATACAAGGAGTTGGGAGAAGAGCGAGTACTTCATTTGGACAGTGGGAGGTCACGAAGGCTTTAAACAGGAAAGTGACGAGGCAAGATTTGTATTTTAGCTAGATGTGGCCTGGGAAGGGATCGGGAGGCTGCCACAGCTAGAGGCAAAGGCCAGCCTGGGGAGATGACGCCATCCGGACAGTGGTAGAGGAGGCAAGAGGAGGCACTCTGTATCACAGAGTGCAGGCTCTGAGAAGCTGGCTAGGAACTGGTGTAGATACACCCTCGCAGCACCTTGGGGTTTCCCACATTGGTGCAAATGGGAAGTGATTCCTCTCAAGGACAGAAAACCTCCACCCAGGCTTCTTCGGCCAGTCGTGCATGCCCAGGCTGTGTGATCTTGGGCAAGCCGCCTAACCTGCTCCGGCCTCTGTTTCCTCATTTCTAACCTGATGAAATGCAAACAGCTTGTGGGAATCTGAAGCATGCCCCTGGCACTCTTGGTGCTCAGTGGATGTAGCCTCTGTTTGCAGGGCTCCCACCTGTGAGACAGGGAAGGATGCACATGATTCCACTGTGTGTGGAAGGGGAACTGTAGGACTGCCAGACTTGTATATTTAGGGGCTCAACTAGGCACTTGGTGAAGTGAATATCTTTAATTTCCTCACGTGTTCAGGGGAACATACAGTCTATAAAGCCCTTTCACGTCTATGTTCCCATTTCCTTCCTCTCAACAGCCCTGTGAGGTAGGCAAGCAGGCACGGTCATTGTTATCCTCTCCATTTTGTAGGTGAGGAAACAGGCTCAGAGAAGGAGAGTGTCTTGTCCAAGGTCACACAGCTGGCAGGGTTGGAAGCCTGTTTTGTGTGACTCAGTGTCAGAGCTGGACCGATCACAGGAGATTGTTGTCTCCCCCCATTACTTTCCTGGGGAGGCTGAGACCCAGGAGGCAAAGAACCCAACGGGGCCCAGTGAATTCTAGGGAGAGCCCGGAATAGACCCCAGCTCTCTGACTTCTAGACCCGGCAACTTGGTGGCTACCCCGCTTCATTGAGTAATACTAACTTTCTTTCTTTTCACCTTGTTTCAGGGAAACCAGTTCCTGAAATCAAATCCTCTTTCCCTGATGCTATGAAGCCGGGAAGACCTTTGGCAGCTTCTGTAAGAAACACTGAAGATGAACAGGGAAAGGGGCAGTCTATGAGGCCAGCTGCCTTGCCAGGCCCGGGTATTTTAAATTAAAATTTTAATTTAGAGTAAATGTATCTATAAGGATTTTCAACTCAGCATATAATAGCAAAAAATTGGGGCACCAGGGAGGCTCAGTCTATTAAGTGTCCAACTTCAGCTCAGGTCGAAATCTCATGGTTCACAAGTTTGAGCCCTGCATCAGGCTCTGTGCTGACAGCTCAGAGTCTGGAGCCTCCTTCAGGTTTTGTGTGTGTGTCTCTCTCTCTCTCCCTCTCCCTCTCTGCCCCTCCCCCACTCACAGTCTGTCTCTCTCATTCTTTCAAAAATAAATAAAAACATTAAATTTTTTTAAATAAAAAAAATAGCAAAAAATTGGAAACAACCATGGGGATGGTAAAATTAATGACAGTCGATCATAACAATACAATACTGTTAACAATGATGTAGATATTTTTACATATGTGGAAACATGCTCATGATATATTGAATTAAAACAGCTAAAAAAGTCAAATGACAGAACATATACCGTTTATTATCATTTTTATAGAAAGAAAGAAATAACTCTGTAATTGAGGGCTCTCTATGTGTCGGACATTGTTCAGAGCACTTCAGAGATGCTGACTTATTTAATCCTCAGCTGTCCAAGTTAGGTATTTTGATTATCCCCATTCACAGATGAGGAAACTGAAGCACAGAGAGGTTAAACAGCCTGCCGAGGTCAAATGCTTTGGGGCCCAGGTATTTTACCTATGGTTTTACAAGTCCCCAGCATGGGCTGATCCTGCTGCTGGCTCCGGCTGGGAGCCCGATGACCTCTCTGTCCGTTCTCCACAGGCCGCCTTACCCTCGCAGCTGTGCGCTGAGGGCACTGATGGGAGCTGCCTGCCCCCACTCCCCCACCTTTCTCCCTAGTACCAGCCTGCCGCTTTGTGCTTAAAAAATTCTTTTTAATGTTTATGTATTTTTCTGAGAGAGAGACAGAGTGTGAGCAGGGGAGGGGCAGAGAGAGGGAGACTTAGACTCTGAAGCAGGCTCCAGGCTCTGAGCTGTCAGCACAGAGCCCAACGCGGGGGCTCGAACACCCACGAACTGTGAGATCATGACTTGTGCCAAAGTCAGATGCTTAACTGACTGAGCCACCTAGGCGCCCTGCTGCTTTGTTCTACAGCACCTGAGGCACTGAAAGGAAAAGTGATTTGCTCAAGGTCATACAAGTAGAAAGTAGCATGTGAGCAGTGTGATTTAAATGTCCGTGTCCCTAACCACCGCACACACCGCTATCCCCAAGCCTTTCAGACCACTTGTGCCCATGGAAGGGTTCAGGGACAGTTTGCCAAATGATGGAAGGACTCAGCCAGTGGATGACTTCCCTGGGGGGTGGGGGTGGTGGTGGTGGGGCCACTGCATACATCCATGTGTCCATTCTCATCACCCCTCCCTGGGGGCCTGGCCTCCCTTCTGCTCTCCTGTGAGCTGAAGGTCCCAAATCCATGAAATCTCAGTTCATCGATGCTGTTCCTGAAGCCAGAGTCAGCGTTGACTGGGAGGAGCATGCCTGGGGTTTTGTACAGAGCTGTATTTGAGTCCCACCTCTCCCTTTCTAGCAGGAGAATTACATAGCTTCTCTGTACCTTGGCTTCTTCATCTAAAAAAGTGGGCACAATAGTGAAAGCCTATGGCATCATGTTGTAGTAATGTTGCTACCATGTAAGCATTTATCAAATGTCAGTTAATATTAACAGCATTCTGGGCACCCCAGATAGGTTGAAGCTGGGAAAATAATTTTGGCGCAGGAAGTCTGAATTGTTAATTGTAGCTAAAGATAAAAACAAGCAAAAACAAGTGCAGAACTTTGAGCAGCAGTTAGAGATAAGGGGAAATGGTCCTAAAGCAAATGTGAAATGGTTGATGGCCAGAGGAAAGAGTGATAGTAAAAGAGGGAAATTCTAGGGGACTGCTAGTCCAGATGGAGAAGGTGATGGGGGTTGCAGTTTCTTCTGGTATTCCTTACCTGGCCTACTGTAGAAACCAGCCTTATCTGGAGAGGCCTTTGCACTGTTCAATCTCTTAAATGGCCCTTGGGAGCACATGTGCCCCCGCAAGGGGAGATGATAAACACAATCTACAGACAGAAAGGGGAAGCCAGTGGTCTATCTTTGCCCAAACTAAAAATAATCATTAATTTCATCAGTGACCCAAACCTTATCTTCTCTTGGGAAAACCCTAAGGTTCCATAGGGCCCCAGATTTCAACATGACTGATTATCTTGTTGGGGTGGAAAATATGGAGGTGGTGGCGGGGGAGGACAGAGATGGGTGGTGGCAAAGGTGCCCTTCTGTGTGGGAGACGCTGGCCCAGGAACTTCTGGTGCCCCGCTGAGTTGTAACTCAGGGACGGGGCTCTGGCTGCTCCCCACACCCCCCAACCCTGGACAGCTGGGGAAGGATGCCGAACCTATTGAAGCTTCATGGCTGTGAAAGTGGCAGGACCAGGATCCAGCCCAGGCCAGTTGCCCTGGAACCCATGAGGTAACCCGTCTGTGCCGGCTGCCTTGTGGGTGGAAAGGAAAGGTGGAAGAGACATGGAGGAGGAAAGTACGTGAGTAGCTCATTAAACAGATTCAGAGACAAGGGCTTTAGTAGCTTGAAATACTGTCACAAAGCCTTAGCTGTAGGAGAGGCCATTGGGTTCTCAGTCAGCATCTCTTATCCTGCACGTATTTTTACCACGTTTGGTACTCCGCATGTGCCAGAGACGGAGCTTGTGCTCTGTAACGGTCATCTTGTTTATTTAGTCTGGATGAGAACTCTACAAGGAATGGGCTTTTATTGCTCTTTTTACATTTTATTTATTTATTAAAAAAAATTTTTTTTAGTGTTTATTTATTTTTGAGACAGGGAGAGACAGCATGAATGGGGGAGGGTCAGAGAGAGGGAGACACAGAATCCGAAGCAGGCTCCGGGCTCCGAGCTGTCAGCACAGAGCCCAACGCGGGGCTCGAACTCACGGACTGCGAGATCATGACCTGAGCCGAAGTCGGACACTTCACCGACTGAGCCGCTTTCTCTTTTTACATTTGAAAAAGCCCAAAGAAATGAAGCACAAGTCACCCAAGTGCAAATCTTACTAAGGAAGGAACCAGGACTTGAGCCCATTTCTCTCTGATGCCAACAAAGCAGACGGGGAAGCTGTAGAGGCCACTCCACTGCCAGCCACAGGGCCGGATGCAGAAAACCCCCAATCAGATATAGCACCACTCCGACATTCTGTCCTCATGCCTTCAGTGACACAACTCAGAAGGACAAGATTCAGGGTATTCTTCTTAGGGAAGCAGACATGCCAGAAAGATTTCTGTAGGATTTTTTTTTTTTTTTTTCCAGTAAATGTTTGGCACATGGAAGATTAGTGATTTGGAAACGACCTGTGTGAAGATGAGTGTCTTCCCAGACCCAGTGCTTCCCCCATGCATTTACAAAGCAAGGGCTGGCTATTCTCTGATTTGTCCACCTTGTGGTGTTGGCTCACATCCCATTCCGTTTTCCCTACAAACCACAGGGATAAATAGCCACTCCTCCAACTAGTAGCCCTCAGATGTCACGAGGTCAGACCTCAGTGATCACCCTCCCAACCCAAGAGGCCTAGTACAGCCTTCAGGTGAACCCCAGGCATCAAGCCAGACCAGAAGGTCATGGTTTATCTGAGGCCAGTACTGGCCCGGGAGTCACCGGGCAAAGGGAGAGGAAGAGGGACCATGTGTGCAGTGAGAGCCCCTGTCGTGAGGCGAGCTCTGGGCTGGGGACAGGACAGAATTTGAGGGAAGAACCGGGAGGGAAATGGAGTGGCCTGGAGCAGCCTAGAGCAGCGGTCCCCCAGGGTGTGGAGCCTGGCTCCCCAGTGGTACCAGAGAGCATGCGTGTTAGAAAAGATGTATCTCTCATGCACAAAAAACTAGGGGTTTCAAAGCTAAATACATAATATGTGAATTAAAGGGGATTGAAAGAAAAACATCAAGTAACTCACAGGGGAGGCGGCACAGAGACATGGCCAACAGTTAAGAGATGGATGAACATGACCACAGTCTGGGGACACAGGCCAAGGGTACTGAGCGGAGGCCAAGAGCAGGCAGGGGCATGGGTAGAGGCAGTGGTGGCAGGGAGCCTTACTCCAAGGCAGGGTCCCTGGGCCTGCCAGCAGAGGCCTACATTGGACTAGGTCACCTGAGAAGCAGGAAGATTTTCACCAGACAGGGACGTCTGGATGGCTCAGTCTGTTAAGTGACTGACTCTTGATTTTAGCCCAGGTCATGATCTCACGGTTCGGAGATCGAGCCCCATGTTGGGCTCTACTTGGGATCCTCTCTCCCTCTCTCTTTGCTCCTCCCCCACTGTGTGTGCACTTTCTCTCTCTCTCTCTCTCAAAATAAATAAATAAACATTAAAAAAAGAGAAAGATTTTCACAGGACAAATGCCTGAGAGAAAATGGGGAAGGTAGGTGCTGGGCAAGGCTGGGAGAGACTTGGGGCCCAAGGGAAGGAGAGAGGGTGGGAAGTTTGGGTGGGAGTGTCTAAGGCAGGCCTACCTGGTGTCTTTAGGGAGATCAGGACCCTGGGTCTCCCCTTAATCTCCCCTCCACACTCATTCACTGGGGGGAGCAGCCCATGGGAAGCACAGGGGAATGTGGGGGATTGATTTGAGAGGGCGGTAGGTCTCTCGGTCAGCTGCCTAGAAGTAGCAGCTGGTCTAGAACAGCGGCCCCAGGGAGAGAGGCTTAGGATGCACCTCCTCTTGGGCCTTGTGGGGATAAAAGATCCTCAGCTTGCATTACGTGAGCTTTGTTTTATCAGCTGCCTGGGTTAATAGTTTAGCAAGTCTGATATTAGTTTCAGCATGGTGCCCTTTTCAGTCTTCTGAATTAAATTTTTTTTACGGTCAAAGTTCCAGATTAATCACTCATTTCCTGATGTTGTAAACCAGAAATACCTGAAGCAAGTGGATTGGGCCAGCAACCCTGGGGTCAAGGCCAGGTTCCCTTGGAGGGCTGGCCCCAGGTTACTCAGAGACCATCCTAGCCATGGGGCCGCTGGGTATTTCCACATGGGGACATCTGAAGCTCCTGGCTTCTGGCTGAGGCCTGCTTCTGCGTTGATCAGCCACCGCAGCCCATCTCATGTCTAGCTTGCACCTGCTCTAGTTCATCTGACTCCAGACTGCTTTGTTAGTGTTCAGGTTAATCTTTTGGCGGAGGCTGGTGGGGAAATGTCACCTCTTTAACCTGGCTTTTACTGGACCCCAAACTACACTTTAAGCCTTCTCTCTCCTGAATCTTCTTCATTTACTAAGCGGTGAAGAACATGGACTCCGGAGTCATGACTGTGTGCCCCTGGAAAGGTTGCTTAACCTCTCTCTGCCTCAGTTTCACCGTCTGTAAAGAGGAGATGGTAATGGTCCTTATCTCCTAGGACTGTCTTGAGGTTTAGATGATGTGACAGTATTCGCTAGTTAAGTGTGCCTGGAATATTTTCTGCATGCCTGTGCTTCCCTGCTGTCATACCTCCACTCAGCCAGTCTCACTCCCTCAATGCCTTCTGACCTCATAAGCACTGTTCGAAAACATTTCCCCATCTTTCAAGGTCAAATGCTCCTTCCTCTGTGAAACCTTCCTTGGCCTCCCAAACTGCTTTGGTGGCCTCTCCTGCCTCTGCCCTTGGGAGGCTGGTTATTGACATGACTGCTGCAATGGAGTTTACTGGAAGGAGGGCTCCCTAGCTAATCACCTCTGTGTCCTTCACTATTCCTTGTGTGGGAGGTGGGGCGGAGTAGGGCTTGGAAGTCACACGGATCTCCGTTGGAAGCCTGGCTCTGCCACTTAATTGGCTGTGTGCCCCTGAGCACGTAGCCGCCTACTGCGCCTCCATTTCTCCACCCATCAACTGGGAATCACATAGAACCAACCCTGGGGCTGTGGTAGAGCTTCACTGAGGTAACTTGTAAGGAGTGTGTGGGCTGGCCCCTGGGGGTGTCAGAAAGTAGCAGTTGTCACTTGGGACACAAAGTGTTTGTGGAGTGAATGAGAACCTGGTTTGGTGTGGGAACTGGTTGAGGACCCCTCCTGTCTTCCTCCTTTCCAGGGTCTGCTCCAGCCCGAGCCAACCTCCTGCCTCCTTCCGAAGATGCCCCTCATTCCTTAAAAACCAACTTTCCTGTTTCATCTGATTCAAAGGTAAATCTTCCTCACCCCCAGGTGCTACCTCCCCAGCTTGTTGCTCTCACTCAAAAACCCAATGTATAGGGGTGCCTAGGTGGCTCAGGTCATGATCTCAAGGCTTGTGGGTTCGAGCCTCACTTTGGGCTCTGTGCTGGCAGCTCAGAGCCTGGAGCCTGCTTTGGATTCTGTGTCTCCCCCTGTCTCTGCTCCTCCCCCACTCACACTCTATCTCTCTCTCTCCTTCAAAAATAAACAAACATT